TCCAAGAGCGACCGGACGTGTCCGGTCATCACTTGGAAACTGTTGCGCGGGTTGAACTGACCGGAGCGTCCGGTCAATATGATCGAAGCGTCCGGTCATCCCGCAGAAGCTCATAACGGTTCGTTTTTCAGGCTGCCTTATAAATTGAAGCTCCACTCGAGTGTGGAGTTACTTTTGCTCATTCCAACAGCTGAGAAACACGTTTGTGAGTGCCAAGAAGAGCAAGGTCCTAGTGAGGTATTTGTGATTTGAGAATCCAAGAGTGAAACCTCATTAGTGAATCAAGAGTAGACAAGTGTGCATCCATCTTCTCATTAGGCTTCGCATGGTCAAGTGAGAGTTCGCGCTTGTTACTTTTGGTGATCGCCATCACCTAGACGGCTTGGTGGTGATTGGGAGCTTGGTGATCACCCGGCGGAGCTTGTGGGTGACCCAACTCAAGTTGTGAGCGGTTTTGGGTGATTCGCCGCGACGGAGTGTCGAAGAATCAACCCGTAGAGAGCACTTGATCCTTGCGCGGATCAAGGGGGAGCTACACCCTTGCGTGGGTGCTCCAACGAGGACTAGTGGAGAGTGGCGACTCTCCGATACCTCGGAAAAACATCGCCGCGTTCCTCTCTCCATTTACTTTGAGCATTTACTTTAAGTATTTACTTTGAGCAATTCAATACTCATCTTTACATTCATAGAATTGCTATGCTAGAGTAAGTTTGGAACATAGGTTGCAAGTCTTTTGTGCGTTGATTTGATAGAAACACTTTGTCTAGGCACAAGGGGTTAATTGGGCTATCCGTAGGATTTGATTATTGCAAGAAAATTTAGAATTAGCCCAATTCACCTCCCCTCTTGGGCATCTTGATCCTTTCAGGGAGAATAAAGCAACCAATGTCGACCTTGTGTGAAGGCCCTTTGGGTGTTGAGAGGAACTGCGACGAAAGCGTTGTGGATAGAAAAACGGTGTTGACCGATGGAGGATCACCGGTTCAATCCATCCTAGTGGTCAGCTCATTGGTGAAGAGCCCTTGGTGGCTATATTGAAAGGAGTCGGCACTAAGGATGATGTCGTTGTTGAACAAGGAGAGAGTTCAAGGGCCGAAGGCCTAAATTGGTGCAAAGAAATATGGCATGTGTAATTAGTGAGTGCCGGATAGTTTGTTTCTAACTCTATATGAAGATTAGAAACTGGAACTAGTGTTTTTTAGCATCCTTGAGAAGCTTCACAAATAGTTAACTAATAACCAATAGTTAGCAGCTAATAGCTACGAACTAGGTGGTTGGATAGCTCGGGTCCGTTTGGATGCACCTCCTAGGTGGTTGGATAATTAGGGTATTGAATCGTATGTAACTAATATAAGTAGATGCTAAAATTGTCCAAGGTTATATTTGGATCCTCAGCTAATAAGTCACAGCTAATGTCTTACCTGGCACCTAGCTAACAACTAGCTATTAGTTGATTGTTTTCTAGTTAATACGACTAATAATTAATTTAGTGGATCTTAAACGAGACCTTAGTTTTTTTGCGATTACGAAGTACAACGGAGATACTCACAACGCACGCACACTTACCCTTATAAACACATGCATACAAACCATATCCCTGTGAGCATTTTCGAAGACTAAGCTGGTAATTCCTCGAGATTAACGAAGTCACCAAAGACGTATATGAACTATTATCACCCCTCCACTAACTAATGGGCTAATTGTTAGCAGCCTTGTTTGAATTCTGATTTGCTAATTTTAACTGTTACTCATTTCGTTCCAAATTATAAGAAATTTTGGCTTTTCTATATATATTACTTTAACTGTGCATTTAGACATAGTGTATATCAAAAATCTCTGTATTTAGAAAAATCAAAACGCCATATAATTAGGAATAGTGATGGAAACTATTAGCACTAGTGGATCTAAGGGCACTCCCAATGTAGACTCTATCATGGTTTCCATAGCTTCAAGACTTCATCACTAGAAACCATCCTTTCCGATGCAAGTTTATACAAATAGTTTTCATGGAGAAAAAAATTTAATGAGCATCTACATGCCCCCACAAACAAAGATCATTTGTGGCAACGTGAGCCATAGTATGCTCTGCAACTCACTGTTGAAGGAGCACAAGTGCTAGAAACACACTGTCTAAAGACGTACGACCGAGCAAACACTATGACAACAATAGATACTATCATCCATTACAATAGGAATAGAAATATAAATACCAGTGGCATGCACCTAAACAGGCATGACATAGATACCATTGTCCATTACAATAAGAATAGAAATATAGATAGCAAAGCCAAAATAATTAGATAATAGTATATATTTAGATAATCTCCAGCCGTGGCTTCAGAAGTCTTCCTGGAAGTCTTCCTGCCTGTAGAAAACATGTCCAACATCCTCCAGATAGAAGCCATCAACATTCTCAAGTCCTGATCATCAACCTGTAAAATAAGATGAGTTAGTAAATTAACTTTGTTGTAAGAAAAAGAGATGGACAGTACATTAACAGAACCACAGTAACATAGTGATAGGAATGTATTCATGTAACATGCTAGTATATAAATTAACATTTCTACCTAATTAGTTCAATTCCCAAACTTTTGCCAGATGTGATCAATCAAATCAGATTGAAATTGCCTGTGAGCTTCATTATCACGAATATCGGCATTTCTTTGTAGTACTTCTTCCATCACTGGGCCATGTCCTTGAGAGATTGTAGATGCTTGAACAGTTGACGTGGTTGCTTCCTCGTTCAAGTCAAGAGAAACATCCTCTATATCCTTCTCATCCTTAATTATCATGTTGTGAAGGATTATACAAGCTAACATGATATCCTCAAGGTCCCCTTGTTCATATAGACGTGTCGGCCGACGCAAAATGCAAAAACGAGATTGCAAAATCCCAAATGCACATTCAACATCTTTTCTTGCCCCCTCTTGATGTTCTAAAAACAGCTTGTGCTCAGCTGATTGTGGTGCACGTATGGACTTAACAAAAATAGCCCACTCTGGGTATATGCCATCTGCAAGATAATAAGCTTTGGTATATTGCCTTCCATTCACAAAGTACTACACCTGGGGAGCTTCTCCTCTTAACTGATCGACGAACAAAATAGATTGATTCAGCACATTGATGTCATTGTTGGATCCTGCCACTCCAAAGAAAGCATGCCATATCCATCGGTCATGTGAAGCAACGGCCTCTAGAATGATTGTTGGTACACCATGATCACCACGAGTATATTGTCCCTTCCATGTGTAGGGACATTTTCCCCAATGCCAATGCATACAGTCAATGCTCCCTATCATGCCAGGAAAACCACGACGCTCACCGATCTCCAACAATTGTTCTACATCTTGTATTGTGGGTCGTCTCAAGTATACTTCACCGTATACTTCAATGACACCCTTAACAAACATTTTCAAGCACTCCACACCAATACTTTCTCCCATCTTTAGATACTCATCATGCTGGTCTGCAGAACCGCCATATGCCAGTTGACGAATCGCTACTGTACACTTATGAATTGGTGAGAATCCAGGGCGATTCAGAGCATCCGGTCGTAAGGTGAAATACTCAGACCACCCACTTAAGGCCTCAACAATCTTCAGAAAGAGGGGTCTCCTCATCCTAAATCTTCTACGAAAATGTGTCTCATTGTAGACTGGATTAGGCGAGAAGTAGTCATCCATTAGTTGTTGGCTGGCTTGTTCACGAGGTCTGTCCACATATCGCCTAGGACCACGCTGAGTTCTTCCACCTTGTAAAACATCAGAACGGATCGCAATTAAGATACTAGATGATCGCCTAAATCATCTATAATTTCTTGCTCTTGAAGATAATCATCCATGGAGCATGCAGATCACTAGGGTCAATCTTGCCATCTCCATCCATGGATTACAGATCGATGGGTAGCGATGGCAAAAAAGAGAGTAGATGAGAAAAGAAAGAGCAAAGCGATGACAGAAGGGGAACGAGAAGAAATAGAAGCGATGGATGAAAGTGTCGTGGGTGTTTGTATATATTCACAAAGATAGTGGAAATAAATCCACACTTGCATGCAAAAACTAGTGGAAAAGCTTGATGCGACTTGCATGAAAATAATAGTGAAAGGAGTTTCACACTTGCATGCAAAAAGCACTGATCACAGGAATTAAAATAACACTGATCATAGGAATTAAAATAGTGGAAGGATTTCGGTTACCTTATATAAATTACTTGGATGGTCACATTTGTATGCACACACTTCCTACTGCAGAATCAATTTCAGAAAATTACAAGTTTATCAGTTAACACTTCCCAGCAATTAAATAACCAATGGAAGAAGGGTCGACAATATCATACCTTAGGAAATAAAGCAAGTCTCAGGCTCTCTAGTGCCAACTTTCTCTCAGCCAAAGCATCTGCACTAAGCTGATTAGTAGGCGCAAGCATCAGCTGTGTGTAAGTTTCTAGCATTTTACACTTAGTTTGTTCATGGGTTGCTTCATGACTAAGCTTAGCTGCTTCAATCTTCTTATCAGCCAAACTTTGCTGAATTTCAATCATCTTCTCTCTCTCTTCCCTATTCCTCGTGCTTGCTTCAATGAACTTCTCAAGTTTTCCACTGAAATCAGACAAAGCATCAGTGCCTTCTTTTTGCCATTGCGTTCCTTTTTTGCTTTCTTATGTCCCATAGGTCGCTTTTCTCCATCTAATTCCAAATTCACCACTGGAGATGGGTTAGCGTTAGCCTTTGCACTCTTTTTCTTTTCCTTCTTCAACCTATTCAGATATGCTGACCACTTCTGTTCACCACGTACTACCTTCCACATATGCACTAGAGTGAAGGCCTTACCATCATGTGAACTGGCATAATACTCGCATGCTTTGTCAATCAACTGGTCATCGCTCATCCCACTTTGCCACACTCTATCAGCATTTACCCAACAGCCATGGAACTCAGTTAATGGTTTCTTAACACGATCCCAACGTATTTTCAGTTGGTTCCGGTTCCTCTTACGGCTACTTTATGTGTTCTTGTTGTATTCTTTAGTAACATCTGCCCAATACCGCTCTGCCTTTTTGCTATTTCCGTCGACTGGATCCTTTGAATTACGCAACCAAGCACTGGCCTACAATTACAGAATAATCTCAATGGGCATACATGGACATAGCTCTCAAGTTGAAAAGTGAGAAAGGGAACGTACCAATCGTTTATCTTCATCAACCGACCAGTTCAAACGCCTGTCGGTTCTAAAATCCTCATCGACGTTAATTGTTTCAGTTTCTTCTACATCTACATCATCCACTAGATCATCAGTTTCTTGTGCTGGAGAAGGAGTTCTTCTAGCACCCAAATCAATTGGAGACATTGAAGACTGACCCATTGCAGCACCAACAAAGTGAAAATTTTCTGGAATATTATTTCCACTAGGATGGTTAGCAAATGGGTTTGACTGCAGATAATTTGTGAACCCTCCTGGTGGGTATAACCTGCAAACATATGAATTTCCATGCTCTAATTAATCACATCTTCACCAAAATAGCACAGTATGCCATATATCACTAGTGACTGAAAATGAAACACTTTGCACTGCATATGCAGGTAAACAATCTATATCCACAGGACACTTCTCTGATGACTTACTCTTCACTAGTAGATGACGTTGACCACCATGCACCAACGGGAAAAGCACCAATTTGAGGAGCACAAGTTTTAGGAACACCAACATCTTGAGGAACACCGGTGGCTCCAGCTTGAGCATGGGTTGCAGCAGCTCCTCTAGGAACACCAGCATCTTGAGGAACACCGGTGGCTCCAGCTTGAGCACGGGTTGCAGCAGCTCCGGCGACTGGAGCACAGGTCCCAACAGCACGGACGGATGGAGAATGGGTTCTACGGACACATCTGCCTTGCCGAGAATCAGTCTTTGTTAATCGATTCATCTGTGAGATTTGGGGATATTTTTGGGTCACAGTGGATGGGGGAGATGGAATCGAAGGGAGCTATGGATGGACCTCGATATGAATCGAAGGGAGCTATGCAGAGATTTGGGTATGGATTTGGGTTAAAGATTGTTGTTGGGAGGAGATTAGTTGGGGATGGTCATGGAGCTTGGGGGCGTACCTCGATTTGGGCCTGGGGACCTCGATCTGCAGCCGGCGCGGGAGAGAGCAGAAGGCGCGCGGGAGAGGGCGGTGCAGCGCTCGGGAAAGGGAAGAGCGCGCGCGTGGGAGCGGGGTCGAGGGCGCGCGCGGGAGCGAGGGTGGCGACGATGGGAGGGAAGGGGAAGGCGCACCGGATCCATGGAAACGATGGACAACTCCACAATGCGCACGGGGGCTGGTTTCTTCGGCATCGGTCGAAGCGTAGACTCAGCGTCTATGTTAGACGTCGTTTCTGGTTTCTCCCCTCTCTTTCTTCAATAAATACATTGCCACATCAGCAAAAATTAATAAATAGAAGAGTAATAAATAGACATAGAAACTATTATAGAGTCTGTATTGGGAGCGTCCTGAAATGGCAAAGACGGAGGTAGACCCAGATTTGATTTTTGTTCTTGTGAACCTATCTTTTTTGTGTTGAGCTGAAATTGGTGGAACGAGGTGAACATAGGAGATTGCTCTACGCGGTTGGTGGAACAAGGACACTGGTCCGCTCCTCCAACGACCCCCACGGGTTCCCAGAGATTCTTTGGCGGTAGGTGATGGATCCCAACAAAAATCCTGTCCCCACCGGAACCACTGACCGACTGACGCAGCGTACCCAATCCGCGCGCCCATCACCGCATCCGTCCACCTGCCGCCACCCAACGTGCTTCGCCGGGGGCTAGAATCCGGCCCCCAGATCCCCGTCCCGTCGCGGTCGCCAGCACTGGTTTGCCGACTTCGACAGGCACCGTGCCCGGCCATCAGCGACGAGGCAGCGGGCGCCGCAAAAATTAGTCCGGGTTTACGGCCAGTTCAGTACGCTAGTTCGTATCGCTGCTGGTTTATTTATGTGAGAGAGAAATACTGCTGATTGGTTTAGGTGAACAGTACTTATATGAGGGGGTTGGCCAGCCCAACGATCAGGCGGTTAGTTTGTCCGTTCAAAACTTTACATCCTATCGCATCGAATGTTTAGACATATGCATAGAGTATTAAATATAGACTTAAAAATAATTAATTACACAGATTGGAACTACTTTGCGAAACGAATTTTTTAAGTCTAATTAGTCTATGATTTGACAGCAAAAAAGTGCTACAGTGCTACAGTAGCATATGTGCTAACGATGAATTACTTAGGCTTACTAAATTCGTCTCGTAGTTTAATAATAAATTCTGTAATTTATTTTTTATTTAGTTTCTAAACATGTAATATCCGATGTGACGCCCCCTAAACTTATCTAAACACCACCTCGGATACCGCCGAGGCGCTCGGTGAAAATCTTCTGCAGCCGCCGGAGCGGAGGAGCGTCGTGCCAACCCCCGATTGCCGATTTCTGTGGCTGGGGCTCCGCTACCTGCCACGCTCCACGTCCATCCAAACGCCATCCGCGCGCTCCGCCTCCCGTTGCCGATCAGTTGCGTCAGCGTCACGCGTGCGTCCGTGCTGACTCCACCTCCACTATACTAGCACTAGCAGCTTGGCGCAGTCAGGCAGGCTGACAGCTGCTCTCTCCTGCATGCATTACTAGCCAAGCCAGGGCAGGCAGCACCCCAGCCGCCGCCCGCTCTTCTCGGCAGGAGCGGAAGCCGAGTCCTCTCCCACCGCGGGGCGGGCCACTTCCCATTCCTGCGCCTGCCTCGCCTCGCGTCGCGCCCCCTCCTCCCTCGCCTCCCCACCCCACCCAACCAGATGGAGCGCGCACGCCGGCACGCCAGCCGCGCGCTGCTGCGGCGCCTGCTCGCGGCGGCCGCGGCCTCGCCCACCACGTCGTCGTCCCGCGGCATCTCCACCCTGTCGCCGGCGGCGCCCGCGGGGAGGCAGCAGCAGCAGAACCAGCAGCGCCGCGCTCCCCGGCCTCCTCCCCACCAGCACGCGCAGGGGCGGCCGGTGTCGGTGTCGGCGCTGCAGCCGAGCGACACGTTCCCGCGGCGGCACAACTCGGCCACACCCGCCGAGCAGGCGGCCATGGCTTCCGTCTGCGGGTTCCCCGGCGGCGTCGACGCGCTGATTGACGCCACGGTGCCGGCCGCCATCCGCGCCCCGCCGATGCGGTTCTCCGGGAGGTTCGACGCCGGGTTCACCGAGTCGCAGATGCTGGACCACATGCAGCGGCTGGCGTCCATGAACAAGGCGTTCAAGTCCTTCATCGGGATGGGGTACTACGGCACGCACGTCCCCGGTGTGGTGCTGCGCAACCTCATGGAGAACCCGGCCTGGTACACCCAGTACACCCCGTACCAGGCGGAGATCGCGCAGGGCCGCCTCGAGTCGCTGCTCAACTACCAGACCATGGTCGCCGACCTGACCGGCCTGCCCATGTCCAACGCCTCCCTCCTCGACGAGGCCACCGCCGCCGCCGAGGCCATGGCCATGTGCAACGGCATCCTTAGGGGAAAGAAGAAGACTTTCCTCATCGCCTCCAACTGCCACCCGCAGACCATCGACGTGTGCCGGACGCGCGCCGACGGCTTCGACATCCGCGTCGTCGTCGCCGACGCCAAGGACTTCGACTACGGCGGCGGCGACGTCTGCGGCGTGCTCGTGCAGTACCCGGGCACCGAGGGCGAGGTGCTCGACTACGCCCAGTTCGTCAAGGACGCGCACGCCCACGGCGTCAAGGTCGTCATGGCCACCGACCTGCTCGCGCTCACCACGCTGCGCCCGCCAGGCGAGATCGGCGCAGACATCGCCGTCGGCTCCGCGCAGCGCTTCGGCGTGCCCATGGGCTACGGCGGCCCGCACGCCGCGTTCCTCGCCACGTCGCAGGAGTACAAGCGACTCATGCCCGGCCGTATCATCGGAGTGAGCGTCGATTCCACCGGCAAGCCCGCGCTCCGCATGGCGATGCAGACCCGGGAGCAGCACATCCGCCGGGACAAGGCCACCAGCAACATCTGCACTGCACAGGTACCTCTCGGCGCAGCGCACTCCACCCACCCCGCTCACCAAATTGCCTGACAGTGACCCGATCGATCGTACACTAGTGTGTTAGTGATAGAGTAGTAGTTAGTGACAAGGACGCTTGTGGTTGGCAGGCCTTGCTCGCCAACATGGCTGCCATGTACGCTGTCTACCATGGTCCAGCGGGGCTGAAGGCGATCGCTGACCGGGTTCATGGCCTGGCTGGCACCTTCGCCCACGGCCTCAAGAAGCTCGGGACAGTGACCGTTCAGGACCTGCCCTTCTTCGACACGGTCAAGGTCACGTGCTCTGATGCCCGTGCAATTGCCAAGGAAGCTGTCAAAAACGAGATGAACCTCCGGGTTGTCGACGCCAACACGGTGCGATTTTATTTGATTGATCACTATATATGTCACTATTTCATTCCAGCTCGTCGCGATGATTTTCAGAGCTGAGCATTTATTAACTCCTAATTGTGATGCATTCCTATAGATAACCGTAGCATTTGATGAGACCTCCACCCTGGAGGATGTTGACAAGCTGTTCAAGGTGTTCAACAATGGAAAATCAGTAAGTACTCATTCAATCACTGCAAAGTATAATGTGCGTGTGTTATTAAATGACGATGTGAAATTAGACCCAAATATTAAATTAAATGGTGTGCCATTGCAAACACTTTCAGGCCAGCTTCACAGCTGAATCCCTCGCACCAGAGGTCTCAAGCTCAATTCCTAGCAGCCTTGCTCGCGAGAGCCCCTACCTAACGCATCCAATCTTCAACATGTACGTGCCTCTGAAATCTGAAGCCCAGTCTGGTCCACTAATTTGTCGGAATGTTTCTGATTTGCCATGCTGCTGTGGACTTGCAGGTACCACACAGAGCATGAGCTTCTTCGTTACCTGCATAAGTTGCAGTCCAAGGATCTCTCACTGTGCCACAGTATGATCCCTCTTGGTTCTTGCACAATGAAGCTAAACGCTACTGTTGAGATGATGCCTGTTACATATCCCAACTTCGCGAACCTGCACCCGTTTGCCCCCACTGATCAGGCTGCAGGGTACCATGTAAGGACCATGATTCAGTTTCTATCCTGATGGCAAAGTATTCGCAGCATGAATTTCCAAACATCTGAAATAACTTGTTTTCTGTCATAGGAAATGTTTGATGACTTGGGCAACCTGTTATGCACGATCACAGGTTTTGATTCTTTCTCTTTGCAACCAAATGCTGGTGCTGCAGGAGAGTATGCTGGATTGATGGTTATCCGTGCATACCACAACGTATGTCATGATCTATGTGGCCTAGCCTTTTCCTCTCTTGCTTTTCTGGTAATCTTTGTTACAGAATTATGCTGATAAAATGCAGTCAAGAGGAGACCACCACCGCGATGTCTGCATCATTCCTGTATCAGCACACGGCACAAATCCTGCAAGTGCTGCTATGGTTGGAATGAAGATTGTTGCTGTTGGAACTGATTCCAAGGGTAACATAAACATCGAGGAATTGAGGAAAGCTGCAGAAGCAAACAAGGACAACTTGGCTGCTCTGATGGTACTCTTGCTCTTGTTATGCCCTTTTAATATGAGGATTTACTTCCCCTTACTTAATTGACAGGCAGAGCTCCTGCCACCACGTTCAAAAAATAGGAGGATTTACATTGGACATTTACTCTTTCATCTCTATTAATATACTGAAAGATTATCACTATGTGTCGAGAATAACAGTGTGTTACAATATTAACTTATTTTCAGGTAACCTACCCTTCAACCCACGGAGTCTATGAAGAAGGCGTTGATGAGATCTGCAGGATCATTCATGAAAATGGCGGACAGGTCTACATGGACGGGGCTAACATGAATGCTCAGGTTATTTTTTCACAGTTTGCTATTCCAT